ACCCCCCCCCCCCCCCGGTCCCACCTGGACGGTTGCTAACAATTTAAAAAATAGCGAATAGCGATTCACTGTTTGAAAAGTAGTCGACTATTTGGCTACTTTTAGGCAAAATGTAGTTCGCTACAACTACAACTACTGTTTTACAAAAGTAGTCAAAAACTACTGGCTACTTGAAAATTGTAGTTCGCTACAGTAGCGAACTACAACTACTTCGCTACTACCCACCCTTGAGTTTTTGTCACAAAATACAATTGTTGTATGATATATAACAAAACGCTTAATGTCTGTTCCCTTGGGAAATAGTTAGTTTTGTTTTCCCTCGAGTCTCAATGTTTCCTTGACTTCGTCTTGGGAAATAACGAGATTCTCCGGAAAACAAAACAATTTCCCTTGGAAACAGACATTAAGTGTATAATATTATATACATGATTGGGTAAGAACAGCCCTGTTTTATCAATTGCATATGATAGAAATTTAGTTGCCAAAAGAGTAATGACACACTGCAAAAGATTCCATGCATGATCATTGTTCATCAATTAATCAATTAAATTAAGTTGCATTGTACCCTACTTTATTATTTTACTCTGTCTAATGCCAGACAATTTTACTTGTAAAGGGTAGTCAGTGCTGGTGATCAAGAGATCACTGGGATGGTTATTCTCATGCAACATTGCTGATTTTAAAAATGTTTAGTGCATGTCTCTTAGTGTGCTAGCTAAATTTCAATAGTAAAGTAGTGAGATGCACATTATAGTACAGGGGGGGGAGGATTCCCCATCAGTGATGAATTGAAGATCAAGATGAGGTTTCAGTTTTGCAAATATGGATCCAGGGACGCCGGAACTGGGGGGCAGGGGGGGGGGCGGCTGCCCCCCTTGCCTTTTGCTAGGGGGGGCAGGGGGGGCAGAAGTGCCCTTTTAGTTGTAAAATAATACGTGATAAATCACATTTCCAACGATGCTTTTTGTAGGAAAATCACAAGATTCAGGTAATTTATAGTTTATATTTATAAAAAATTTGGGAAATTTTTGGAATTTAGAAAAGAAATGGCGAAAATTTAAGATATCCGGAAAAATTTTGGATTCACAGAAAATTTTTGTATGAATTTTCGAATCCCACCGTGGCCGGGCATATTTTTCAAGCTCGCCCGGTGTGGATATAGACTCAGAGTAACACCACAAATATCAAATTTTTGTATGTCCGGAAAAAATTTTTGAGCCCTAAAAAAAATTTTTCAGTAAAGGTGCCCTTGGTGTGCGTCCGCCCCCCTTTGCCCTATTATCGTTCCGGCGTCCCTGTATGGATCCATACCAATAGACCTTTGTTAGGGACTGGTCATAAAGTAATTACCAGAGGGGGTTGGAGGATAAATGAACTTTCAAGTACATATTTTCATACCCTCCCAAAAACCTATGGAAAAATTTTTGTAACCCCCTTCAATGTAAGTGAAAATGTTCATACCCCCCCTTCTATCATTAAGTGATCTGTTTGAACATTTGTCTTGCCGGTTTATCTATATTTCGAAATGCTCCAGTTTGTGATAACTCTCCCACTTCTTGTAGTGGTAACCATATCCTCAACATTTTCTGCAGTCTCCGATTTGTCACCAATCTTTTCTGATTCTGACATACTAGCGGATAGGCTGAGTGTAAGAACAAACAGAAAAATTTGTTTTTGGTTTTACTTATTTCAAACTGAAAAAAAATTGCTTCCATTCAATGTGACACTTCCTCATCAGGTTCTCACGGTGCAAGCTTGCTACCATTGACAATTGAGATGTATCAGATTTGTACTCCAAAAGTTCCATGGATGCTGAATCCTACTTATGCACCTTTCATCGTCTTGCCCGAGGGGGGTAACCCCGAGCGAACCTCGGGAAATGCAAAATCTACCTGGAACAAAGTTGGACATTTTCCCGGGACCCATGGGGTGTGGACATTTATATTCCCCGGGACAAGCCTATCGACAACTTGTTATGGATTATATATCTTGCATACTTTTTCAGAGGGTACGTTTACATGCTTGTGGGGCAGATTTAAATTTCAGTAGTAAAGTTTAGTAGCGACAGCAACATTAGAAAACATATTCATCAGTCAGCAAAGTACCAGTTTAATATATCGCCATTGAACTGATAAAAAATTGAAACAATTACCCAATAAAACTGTCTTGTTGAATTTTGTAACTTTAAGGAGGCTCCATACAATTTCTTGAAAAGTGTAAAACACTCGTTTTAGAGCCGAAATCTTGTACATTGATTATTAGTTAGAAACATGAAACTAACAGACTTGTATATAGCAGGATTTGGAGAATCAAAGATTGTAACAAAAAAGTGTGTAACTATCACTGCTATGGCAACAGTGATGTTTCAAAATGGCTGCTAATTTGCGTTTAAGATTCATGGTCAGCGGTATTCAGCGGCTTAAATGGTTTGCAATTTCCTGACCCCTGGGAGCTGTAGTTTTTAAATGTTTGAAAATTACCCCACTCTTAGGGGGAAAGTTATGTTACAATCCCCCAGTATATCCCCACATTTACCCAACCTTGTCCCGGGGTTACCCCCCTTGGGCAAGACGATGATAGGTGCATTATCATCTGACATTGAGTCAGACTGAAACATATATACTTTGTGTTAATTTCAGAATAATAGTAAAACAATTCTTTCCAGACTTTAAAAATCTCGGCACAAATACATTCAATATTCAACAAATACAAAATGTAATTTTTTTCCGTACCTATAGTATTAAGATTTTGGTACTCCCCTAGAGGTTCTATAGTTTTTTCGCACCTCCCTCAGACGTTCTGAGGTTTTTTTCGTACCCACAAAAAATATCCTCCACACCCCCTAGTAAATACTTTATGACTGGTCCCTTATAATGCGTCAAATGTGGAAAACCAATTTATTTAATAAAAACATCTTTTGCAATTTGCATTGCAAATTGTCGTTAAAAATTGTTCCTTGGGGCATCGCATTAAGCATTTTTCAGCGTTTGACATCATTTAAAAACATCTCCTATTGTTGTAATCGCATGTTGATTTTCAATTTCATCCATTAGTTGGATATTTACTGGACCACAGTTAATGACTGGACGGATCAGTCACAAGAATAAGAAGGTACAGCAGAAGTGTAACTCGAGTCGGTTCCCTTATTGTTTTACGTCCACGAAAATTTTAACTCGCTCACGCCATCCTGGCTAGTACAACTGGAAGTTTTTATCAGGTTTTGCCGTTTTGGTAGGTGCAAAGTGCCGGTTCTACTAGCCAGGATGGCGTGATTGACGACGAATTGCTTGTAAAAACGCGGACAAATACTTGCTTGAGTTACACTTCTGCCTGTACCTTCTTATTCTGTGGATCAGTTCTGAACATCACATACATGTCATCACACGAATGTCACCACCAGAAATTAAGCAACCACTGTGTGTCCAGTGTTGTAGTGGCAATATTCACAATTTATAATGCGCATTTATTGTGAAAAAAAGAACAGTGGTATTAAATATACCTGTATACATCTTTCTTGCTGTCTGTCTCCAGAGTTGACAATCACAAAACCATTTTCATCGACGACTTCATCGCTAGCTGGTTCGTCCGCAGCATTGCCAGTCACATAAAGTGTCGAAGAATTCTTTCTTCCAAGTATAAAATTATACAACGTATTCATTGATACTACATGTATCTATGTGAATTGTCAAATCTTTAGTCATTCTACATGCAATGACGCAGCATACTAGAATATTTAGACAATAATTCACTGCAAGATACAAGATCTGAATTACTTTTAAAATTCCTGAAATTTTCCTGAAATTTACAAGGTTAGCACTATTTTCCATCCAGCAAACTGACCTGACGTCATTTTCGGAAGATGGAGGAGGTGTTACTGTAAATGGCTACCCCTACTCTAACCCCTAACCCTAATACTATCCCTCACCCTAACCTTAACCTAACCCTAACCTAACCCTAACCTCAACCCTAACCTAACCCTAACTTATTTTAAAAATTGTATAAAAACGGAAACCTTATTTTGAAGTATACTATCTAGCAATTGCCTTGCGGGTTATACTTGGAAAGTCAGTACTATCTAGCAATTGCCTTGCGGGTTATACTTGGAAAGTCAGTTTACAAATCAGTGTGTTTACCGCGTACGGGAGGGGAAAAATTAGGGAGCAGACAAAAATATCGCTCTAAGACCCTGGGTACTAGGTTGGGATAAGTAGAGATAAACCTCAGACAATTGTAAAATTTGGATAGCACTTTTTTCCATCCAGCAAACCGCCCTATCGATTTTCTAAAGTCGTTTCTTTTTGGATTTTTTTATTAATTCGGTTAGGGTTGAGGTTAGGGTTAGGAGCTTAGTTTTGAGTTAGGATAGCTTTTTCTACGTTATAAAAACGGAAACCTTATTTTGAAGTATACTATCTAGCGATCACCATAACCGCAACCGTTACTCTAACCCTAACCCTAACCCTAACCAAAGATTAGATACTATAAAGATGTGCCACTCGACGTATTTTTCACTTACTGCCAAAATGGCGGCGAGACTGATGGCGTTGGATTTTACTATTTAGATACTGATCACTGATGACGTTGAATTTGACACTTACTGGCAAAATGGCGGCTATAAAAAAAACTCGGACATAATTTTCGCAGATTGCAGAATGGCACATCTTTATAGTATCTAATTTTTGCCCTAACCCTAACCCTAACCCTAACCCTAACCCTAACCCTAACCGAATTAATAAAAAAAAATCCAAAAAGAAGCGACTTTAGAAATTCGATAGGGCGGTTTGCTGGATGGAAAATAGTGCTAACCGTAAGCAACGAGGCGTAGCACCGCCAAACAAACTGCAGCAGGAGTCTGGGGGCATGGTTGCTAATGGGGGTAAGGGGGCAAATTAGCCCCCAGGAAAATTTGAGATTGTTGGTCTTATTTGGTTCAAATTCCTTGTTTTTAGTCTTACATTAGTCCAAAATTCTTATTTCAATCACACTACTGCCATTTAATCCAATGAGTATTTAAATTTCCGGGGGGCGGGGCGGTGCAAGTCTCTCTACGCGGGGTGCAAAATTTTATTTTAATTTGGGGGGAGGGTGCAGGGGGTGCGCCCTCCCCCCAAATTAAAATAAAAAATTTGCACAGACAATCCGTCTATGCTAGCTCGAGAGATAATCCGCAAATTTTCAATCAAGTTCGTATCAATTCCATTTGACGATAACTGTTGCTTGTATCTTCGCTCTCCAGCCCAAAAATAACCTGATACCAAGTGCCTGTTGACTCGACTCCAGAGCAGAATCATAATCTTGCATTTCGTACTGAGATTCCGAAATGCAGACTATGCAGTAGTAGCTTTCAGCAGAGGCCGAGTGTTCCTTTTCCATAGAGCGCCACCCTAATATCTAGGGTTTGCTGGTGCCAATGCACAGCTGAATCGTACTCTTTCAAGCGATGCTTTGTCACTCCAATCATAAAGCAAGCGCGGGAAACGTCTCGGTGGATTTTTCCGTAAAGATTTTGTCTACATTAATTGGTGCCGTGACCAGGATTATGTCGGAAAATCTACCAAAACTTCAAGCATCGCGAGCGGGCTATCGGGCCCATTTGACACAAACAATCAAGAAGGCTACAAATATTGCAACGAAGGAGGATCCCCTATAAACGGACAGTGATATTACATCCTTAAAGAGAATCGTTGATCTGCATGCGCAATTAGCTCGGAAAAGGTCAATTCTGGAATAGCTAGATGAGAAAATCGTAGGGATGATCGAAGACCCAAAGGAACTGGAGAAAGAAATATTCCAAACCGAGGACATCAAAGAAGAAATTGACGAGACAGCAGCTCAGATAAGTAACACTATTGAACATTTTCTATCTACTAAATCGTCTCAAAGTAACTCCCCCTCTGAAGTAACTCAAGTAATCTTAGAAAATACAAGCAGTCAATCCCCATCAACAACAGACAGTCAACAGTGAACACAAATGATCAAACAGACTCAGGGACCCCTAATGAAATTGTTCAACAAGATAATCCCCCCTCCCCCGTAAACACACAATCACAACACGATAGTCAACCCTCTACAATTGCACAATCACAACAAGATAGTCAACCCTCTACAGAAGCACAGTCACAACAAGATGGTCACCCCGCTACAAACACACAATTTTACCAAGAGACCCCAGTTATACCAGCATTTCCACCAACCCTACCAACAACTACACTCCACCACCCCAACCCTCTCAATCAAAATAGTCGTCTACCAGAATTAAACCTTCCAACATTTTCTGGGAACCCGCTACAATGGTTTACATTCTGGGACTCATTTGAAGCTGCAGTCCACTCCAATTCAGGGTTTATTTTAACGTGCAGTTATACACAAAATGTGCAGTTCTAAACCCATTTGTGCAGTTCTTAAAATTCAAATGTGCAGTCACCAAATTAACAAAAATATAACCTCGAAACAAGT